TGTAAAATACGATTTATTTCTGGGTGAGGGCCAATCGTGCCAATTAACCTAATCTGCTGAGAGCAACGGTACTGTTTTTGCTTGTGTCTTATCTGACTCGGAGACAGCAAGGAAAATTAGGCCAAATCTCATCCTGTCAAGACACTTCAAGGAAAAATTGCCCATAATATCAGTTCTTTTTCTTAAATCTTCAGCAATCTATTTGTCATTTGCTGTTCCGTTTTTTGCCTTCCCTATCACCCATGTTTCGCTCCGCTTCCAGCTGACTTCAGAGCCTGTCCGGCAGGGTGAGTGTTGCTATTTCTCTGCTGCTGCCTGTGTCCTGCATCCCAAAGGGGTGTTTGGGATAGTGCAGCCGGGATGGCAGGTTTCGCAGCGCGCGGGGTGCAGCGGCTGTTGTCAGCCTAAGCGACGCGGTCTCTGTCAGTCGCGCTGGGTCAGTGCGAGGCGGTTCCCCCTGCAGCGGTGGCCCCTCTTGTTAGCTCCAGCCAGCCACGAGCGTGACGCTGTTTAGCAGCATGAGCAAAAGAAAGAAAAGCTCATAAAAGCTGGTAATCAATAAAGAGGAAGGAAAAAAATCAAGAGAATAAAAAATGCATTAAAAAAATCCAGAGCAGAGCCTGGTGCCGCCTTCATTAGGATTCAGTAGCAGCATCTTCCGTTAATAAAGACATGTGCGGAGAAAGTTAAGATGACAGAATGAACAGGATAACCTTAAACTCACGGAATTTCTTCCTTATTAGAGCAAGAAACAGCCAACTGCAGTTTTCCTCAGCCTCAGCTTGCTTTGAATGAGGTGCATCTTGTTGTAGCTGTGAAAAACTGTCCGCTTGGGAGAGCAGGGAACCCAGCGAAGAGCAGGGACGGTGTTGCTGAGCTCAGCCGATTCCCTTGGCCTGCGCTGGCATTGATCGCAGCCCTGGTGCCGGGGACTCCACTCAACTGTCTCCGAAACAGTTTGGCCACCAATTCCAGGCCTGTGTAGCTTGTCCTGTCGGCACGATGCGCTGGAGAGGATTATTGCTTTCCTTGTGCTACCTACAGGAGGAGGGGAAGCGGATGAGAAACTTTGCGTCTTCCTTGTCCAGCACTGATCTTGCTGGCGGTTGTAAGCCGCAATTACAGAGGGAGGTTGAGGTTTTTTAAACCGTTCTCCCTACGTGAGCGCTTTTCTTTCCGCCCCTTCAGGCGCTGGGAGAGAGGAGCACGGCGCAAGGTGCAGCGTGTGTGCGTGACAGCCCGTGGGACGCTCCTGGGGCAGGTCATGGCTGCACAGACGTAACCCCAAAATCAAACAACAACGAGGAAGAACGCGCTGCTAAAGGAGGCCCTGCTTTCGGGTGCGCACGCTGAGGGCTGGCGCTCCCCTCTCGTAAGCTACGGCTCCCTCCTGCCCCAGCATTTCGCTCCAGTGCCTCTTTCCATGCCTGCTAGCCACTTAAATGACGAAACAAGTTGCTCTGTTATTTTTAAAATGTCTGGGCTGATCTTTTGGGAAAACTGTGTTTCTGCATTTGCCGGGGCCTTGAGACTTGTTCTGCTCATGTGCACGCCCCGTACCTGCTGTTGCAGGCAATTGCCTATAGCACCCTTCAGTGCAAATGCTGTTGGACCTACTGCTTGGTAGAAAATCCTCTTTCCTTGCTAGAAGTACTAAGTGCATTCCCTCAGCGCAGTCACTTTTGCAGATGAACAGTCTCTCCCTGCCCGCTCTAGCCAAGGGCGTTTTGGTAGGTAGGCGTCACACAGGCGTTTGGGGTCATCCAAGGGAAGGGTCTCAACACAGACCCCCTCTCCATAGGGCCAGAGCGGGGTAAACGCGTGGGGAGAGGACGAGGAGCAGTGCCAGACACTGGCTCTGCAGCAAGCTTGTTATCAAACAGAGGAAATAAGGCAGAGGACAGTTGGTGGGAAACTGGTAGGACCAGTTATCTTTTACATAGGTCCTCTGTGTCAAAAATGTCACAGAGACTCCTTTTCCTTTGTAGAAGGCAAACACGAATGCCTATGTCCTCTCGCCCTTTTCAGGATGCGTTAAGCCTCATTTGATTTCTGAGTTTATAGTTTCCATGTGCTAAAATCCGTTAATTTAATCATTTGTAACAGATGGCAACGTTGAGCCCACATTGTCAAATTAAATAGTAGGCTGTTACACACCTTTTGCTGACATTTATTTCAGTTTCTTTGACCATAAAATTACCACCGTGTTAAATGTTGACAGCTCCCGATGAACCAGAGACTCTCGATACAACTCCAGAGCACACACAGACAGCCCATGAAATGCATTTTTCTACAGGCCTTTCCTAATCATTTTTGTTCAGTAATGAAGCCTTTAGTTCACAAAGATTAATGGCTCTGCAGGACTTGCACAGGGTCCCCGTCCCCTTCGAAGGAAAAAGAGAACCCCTTTACTAAGCTGCTGCACAGGGAGCTCAGATTAAAGATAAGGACGTAGAGGGTTGTGTTTTTGGGGAGCTGGATGAGAGGTTGCTGTGCTTGGATCCACAGTAACAGCAGCAGGAGTCAAGGAACATGTACACTTTGAGAGTACAGAGTAGGGAATCATCTCCTACATATCCGGCCCGGATTTGGAAAAAAATATATATATTTGTTAAAGTGGTCTGCAAAATTACTCCCCTAGTCTATTACTGCCTTCAAAGAACAGAAATAGAGTTCTGTTTCACGCAGTACGGTATTTGGAGGCCCTTTACAAATGACTTACTGAAAGATATTTGCTTTTTCTACAGAGTCAGCTGGCGGAGCTGCAATGATTTTCATGGCCTAATGTTTTTGTTAGCGATGGGACGAGAGGCTGAGCCAAACTCAGTCGTTCTGCCCTGGCTAGATGCAGCTTTTGGCCCAACATCGCCTGCATTTCAGCAGCACGACAGGGTGAATCTGAAGTTACGCATCCTGCTGGGAATATCAGCATTTGATTTAGTGATGTTGGGGCTACAGAGGGTGTTCCCTCCTCCCTTCGAGCACACGAGCTAGTGCTCAAAAGGCCAAGGCTATTTTCTGGTAAGCTCTGCTCTGCAGGGCATCCCCTGTAGCATGTGCCCTGGGTTAAGGTGACTTAATAGCCAATTTCAAATCTGTGATAATCTTCTCAAGCTGCGATTCTGTGCACAGTTGCTGACAGTGGTTGCCTGCAGACTTACAGCCTTCAGCATCTGCCGTCGGCCGCTTGTATCCTGGCAGCTGTCACCCGTTCACTTCTCTGACAAGCAACGTCATTTTGAGGGGATGGGGGGTCACCATCTTAGTGCCATGGATGGGTGAAGACTCAGCTTGCCTTAGCCCCACTTTGTGTCAGCTCACGGAGTCCGACTCGCTGCTCCCAGGAAAAGCAGGATGTCCCAATGAGTTCTGTAATGGAAGCTGCGGTCAAGTTTAGGTTAAATTAATCCCATACCTCCCTCATCCTCAGCCAAACACTCCCGGCTCGATACCCTTCACCAGTCATTTCGGGGGAGGTTATTTGAAACTTATCAGTTGGCAGGTTATGAAATGTTTGAGTGAAGGGGGTAAAAAAAAAAAAAAAACACAAAGAATTGAGATTGAGGACAATTGCCATGAGTCTGGCTTGTCAAACCTGGCACATGCAATCTGGCATGAAAAACGCAGAGAAAAAAGCTTGTGAACTCGAGCCTTTTCTTGCTTCGTGATCGTCTCCTCCATGGGCCATTTCAGTGCTTCAGGAATGATACTCGTGCTAATTTTTTGTTCTACAACCACTGATAGGAATTGATCAGAATGGAGGAGGAAAGCATAAGTATCAGCATATATATGTGTTGAACTGTATAGCCACTGAAATCATTATATGTAGCAGTGTTGCTTGTTCCCGTGAGGAAAACGTATGCAGCGGTTAGTGCCAAGGCTATATTTATTTGAGGACAGGTGAATCCATTTTAATGGTGACTAACCAGGGAGCATTAACCTCTATAGAGGAGCAGAACTGCAGAAAAACTGTTGGACTTGTTGGTTTAAATCAGGATTTCTATATGCTAATTTAAACCATGATTATGAGCACTGTTATAAAACTCTTGGTTTTAGTCAATATGCCTTGTTTGTTCACGGAGAATTCAATTTGTCAGAGCGCTTTTCTAGTGACAGCTTTTGTGTCTATATGAAAGATAGGGCGCTGGATGCAAAAGCACTGAAGTTATTTAAGAATATCAATTTTGTAGTCCTCTCTGAAATCAATTAGGAGTGCTGTGAAATTTTATTAATAGTCTCTCTCTCTTTCTTTTTTTTTGCTTCCTGTAAAAGACCTGGACAACAGGTAAAAGCCATAGTTAGGAAAGCTAGAAAAACAACAGACTAATGAATCACTCTTGGTACCTTGCTTTAGTTTGTGTAATTTTAAAATTCTCAATTTTGGGGATGAGGATTACTAGTTGCCCATTCCTGAAGCATTATGTTAATAGTAATGTCGTTAATGTTGTTAATCAAGTTGTGTGTTCTTCCTTAACTGCACTGCCCTGTCATGGGAGAGTTAGATTGAATAGGTTTCCACTGGGATCAATAGAAATGGGATTGGGTTTTAGAGGCTAAGCCATCCCCGTGTTGTTCTGCTTATAGACCTCCTGCAACAAACCCATTCAAAGACCTTTTTCATCAGAGTTTTGTTATATGCAAACACGTATCAGATCTGAAAACACCCTCAGCACTGACAGCCATCCCGTTACAGAAGATAAAGGCTAAACTGGAATGGGTAGCAGGGATGATTTTTATGTCTCTGAATTACCTTCATCTCTTCGTTCGCAGTTCTTAGCTCCATTAGTGACCCTTGCTGCAGACCACGGGGCGCTCTCCCGGTTTGGTTTCCCTCTGCCCGTTGCCTCGTCCTGCCAGCTAATTGGGGTGGAAGTGCTAACTGAGAGCAGTGTTACGGAGCTGCCAGGTCTGCGCGCGTGGCAGGCGGCGGCTGCTGCTGCTAACTGTTACCTGAGTGCTGTTGCTCCGGGCTCTGCCCATGGTTGCAACGAAGCGACCCAATGCTCTCCCTCCGAGACATCCGATACCGCCGCTCTGTAGCCACCGTTGGCGGAAAGCAGCATGTGAAGCAGATTCGCTTTTCCCCCTGCTTGGTAATTCCAGCGGCGCCACCAGCCAGATGCCTCATGCTATGAGCCTGGCACGTTTCAGTGGAGGATGCAACATGTGGTGGCATTTTATGGATTGGCTGCGTGTTTTCCTGAAGCCGTAAGGAGACGGGACACGCAGATAGCTGTTGCTGGCGTCGCGTTTCCCCAGGCACCACGCCAGGATAGAGCACAGATTGTTATTTAGCGCAACAGGATCCCAAGATAAGCTTCATTTGGTCAAATTACTGAGCTTTTAAATTTGTTTTTTGTATTAATAGGAGAGTCCAATTATTTTTAATTTGCTGTTTTTCATTCCCGAGGCAGAGGAAGAACAGATGCAGCCGTACGAGCTTGTGATGTTCAGTCACCAAAGCCAAGTCCATAAAGACGCAGGCCTTTCCGTGCCCCGGCTAGGGAGCTGGTGCAAGAGCAGCAAGCAGGAGGGCGCTCAGCTGGGAGCCTCTCCTCATCCGACTTCTCGAAACCCCCCGTGTCCTTGTGCTGTGTTTTGGATTTCAGCTTGCCATATCTCTGAGTAAGCTCTAAAGGCATGTGGAGAGATTTCCCTTTGTTGACCTATGTTCTGCAAACCCAGCTGTTAATTCAGGTATCTCTTCTGCCAGCTTGGCATTATACAGTTCAGTTGAATTAGATACCTTTTGCTCCTTTGATGTAGAAAATGCAGATAATTTATTAACTAGACCAGAACTATTTGGCACTTAAAGAGTGCCTGCCATCTTCAAAGTGCTCTGTGTGCAATGTTTCATGATTTATACTGTTAATTATATTAGTCCTGTTAGGAAAAAGCTCTTTAAATATCCATTGATGAAAGTATTCTCATAACAGGCTAGGAGTTCCACACTGAAATTGTAGCAGATAATTTACCCACTGAGGTATAGCGCCTCGGAGAAGATGTAAGGAGGATTTACAGCAGTTCTTTGGGTGTCTGCTGAAAAGTCTTGCTTTGTCTCAGGCACAGCAATAATAATTGGGAGCTCTCGAGTCTCTGAGAGTGCTGTGGAGCTGCTCTCAAAGCCTCACGCCGCACAGGATGGGTCAGTAGGGTCCTGGCTTTGCCGCTATGTGACCGATACCTCCGTTCCCACTGGTAAAGCCACTTAGGAACCTTGCTTATGTGGCCAAGGTTACTGTCACTTTCAGACACTTCCAAAAGGATCCCCACCTTTCTGTAGAGAAATCAGTAACATCGTCATGGTCAGGAGTCTGACTGTTCCAAGCGGAGTGTAAGTCTGTAGCTCCGTGACCTTGAAAAATGAGATAGTTTCATGACCGTCAGCTTGAGTCTAAATTCTTAAATCTTGTGGAGTGACATGCGGATTTTGTCTGTTACTATGACAAAATGCAGCTTTTAGACTAGCCCAGGACCCAGCAGCTTCTGTATAAGCTCCTAAACAAGTTGCCAGATTTTCCAAGAGATTTTTGGTCTCATTTAGCTGTTTAATGGGCCTTTAGGCACATCTCTGCGTTTTATCAGTGTGCTTAATGGTTTTAGTAGTTAGCCCAAAATGTGTTCATACTAGCAAAGGGTTGATCATGTTTTCCTATCTTAATTTGCCTAAGTAATAATTTAGGAATTTACACTGCGAGTAAATCGACTTACTGGAGTAAATCACTAAGGCATGTAAATGAGTGGTAAAATCTGGTCGTCTTTCAAATCAAGTCGAAATGAGGTTTAACAGCCTGGGTAGCGGTTGTCTTGCAAAAATGCAGCCTACAGAGCGGCTGTCTAATGGCAGAGAGCTCCTCAGATAAGAAACTAGTCTTTCTCTTTCCATCTTCTTTACGTGATATTAACTGAAGGCTTTTAAAAACAGATAAATAACTATGAATGCAGCGAATATGCTCCTGGCCTGCCCATTGCTCACACCATGGTGATTATGGCTGGCACTGCAGGAGTGGCGTCCCTGGACACGTTGCATTTCACTCTGTTTATCCTCCCCATGCTGTGAGGGTGTCTGCCATGTGAGCCTGCTCTTTTGGAGGCTGTCGTCTCCCCTAGGAAGAGCTCGCTGAGTGTCCTGGGTGTCCGTGTTTGCCTGTATTCTCCCAGCGTTTGCTGCTACAGCCATGAGTCCAGGTGTGCGGTGGCCTCAAAGCTGGCACAGCTCCCTTAGCACAAGCTGTGGTCAGAGCAGCAGCTGCAGTTTGGACAGTCTTGTTTGTAGAAAACGGGTCTAATTCAAAACTTATGCTTGCTTGCAGAACAACACAGTTTGGAAGCCAGATTCCTGCCAAGACTGCCGTTGCCAAAGCAATGTTGTCACCTGTGAACCTGTTGTGTGCAAACACCCTCCGTGTGACTTTCAGAAGGTAAGGGGTGAAACTGCCCAAACACTTACTGGTCTCTTCTGTAGAGTGGGAGAAATGTCAGGTCACTCTAGGGTTCCCCGCTTTCCTCCTCCTTTAGTCCTTAGAATAGTTATGGGCTTGTCAAAACGCTCGTGTTGGAACACGCACCGTGCCAAGGGATCTTGTGGACAGTTGGGTCCTTGGTTCTAGAGGCCCTGTGGAGGCCGAGCTCTGGTGTTACTTGGGCCTCCAGAAGAGGACGCGGCGTGAGGAGTTTCTGCAGCGAAGCTGGTTGCGTGTCCGTGTACACGGCTGTGTGAGGGTCCCGTGGTCGGCTGCCTCTGCGCAGCCCCCTCTGAACCCGAGTTCTGCTCTACGCTGGGATTTGGGGGGCGCAAGAGGGACCAGTGCAATTCAGACGTCCCCGTGCCCGTTCACTCCTCACTGATGGGAGCCCGTGGAACAAAAGCGCGGGCAAAGCCCAGCATGTGCTCCTAGGGCACTGGGGTCCCCGAGGAAGCCCCAGAGCTGGTTTGGACCTCCCAGCGTGGGCCCTGCTTCTAATCACCCCTCATTCGGCCGCGGGGCCAGGCCGCTGCCTAACAAGCAGGTGGACGCGTTCCACTCTGCTGAGCAACAACAGAGCAGAGCCGTCTGTCTTTCAGCTCCTTGTGCCTTGTGGTGCTTGTTAAGCTCTCTTTGTTTCTTGTTTATCTTTCCCTGTCAGAGCCTTCATTAGTGGTTATAGCTAATTGGCCACAGAAGTGGTGTTGCATTAGCATCTGGATTACTGGGGTAGTGCACATGAATGGCAATGAAAATTAGTGTTTTAAAGAGGGACCGCCAATACAATAATTATATAGCTTCATGAAGCACAATAAATCTTTTTTTTTCAGTGTAATAGCATTAACAGTGAAATACTTTTTGATCCTACTCTTTTTCTCCTTTACTAAGGCTATGTATTGATTAAAGGACAACGGAAATATTAGGCGTTTTGTGCTAAAGGGGAGAGGGAAAGAAAAGAGTGCTGCCACTGAAGAGCTAATAATGAGTGGGCTAGAAGAGGATAGTCATTCATGAAAACCAACAGTGGCTGAATGAAAATAAAAAGGTAGCAGCTATGAGGCTTATAAAAAGATTTACCTGGTGTGAAATCAAACTGTGCAGCTCCTTGGCATGGGAAATCAGTAGTATTTCAAAAAGGTTTGGCCAGTTTAACGAGGAGAAGAAGTATCAAGGGTCTTAGAAGAAGAAAATCTGATCATCCTTCAAGTATAAACTGATGAGAGATCAATGAGGCCAGAGTCTCTATGGTTTATTTCTTATTTGCTTATCGTGAGGTATCTGCAAACATCGCCTATCTCGTTTACAGCAGCAAGACATAAGCAGAGGCTGGTGGTCTCTCCAAAAAGTATCTAACTTTTTGGCTTTTTAAGCATTTGGATGTAAAACCTGATGCCATGTGTGTGTATATTCTTTGTACACAGGTAGACTGAAAAAAAAAGAATGTATTAGGTAGATGGAAATGAGTGAAAACAATTTCTCTTGTGTGAATTAAGGAAAAGAAAAAACAGAACAGCTTTCCCTCCTGCTAGCTTCACAGTTGAATGAGGTTTAATAGTTTAATCTAAATGAAATATTTAATTTTATATTCAGCCTCCTAAAAATATGACATTGAAGGAAACCTTGAAGCGAGAAGCTTTTTTTCCAGTTTGAAAATTGTTTCCTTTAGAAAATGTAGAAAGAAAACTTCCGACATTTTCAAATAATTCTGGTTGCTTTTATCATGCCAATAAAGAGATGGCAGGTAAGACAATGTTTTTGTATTGCACAATCTGCTTTTTTTGTTATATTACAGTAAATAATTATTCCCTCTTGGTCAAGAGCAATGCTTTAGAAGTTGACCATAACCTTTCAAAGGAGCAAGGATGAAGCTTTTCTCCTGAGAAGCACCTTGGTGGTATTTTAGGGAAGGTGACTTTATGGGTAGATTTTTCCTTCATTTCACTTTCTGAATCTGTGACAGTCTTCCCTGCTTTTGTTTTTCTGTTTCAGTTTTTCCCTTCTCCAGCTGCTGTGCTCCGATAACTCTCAGACATCTAAAAATTTCTGGTCTCTTTGTTTGTTTAATTCATTTGTAGGGGAAAAATATATGATCCAGAACAGAAGTACGCGATCCGTGTATTCCATGGATCCACAAGATCCACGGTACCTCCTAGGGCGGTACCGCCTGTGCTGGGCGTGGGATATTTGTCACACAGCTGTGGCCATTGGAAGGGACGGGGATCTCTGTTTGCAGAGTCCACAGAGACGTTTCAAGGAATCCCTTCCTTGAAAGGAAAGGCCAAGGTCCTTCCTGGTGTTGGCTGAGGTCTTTACTGATGCGTTTTGCCCTTCACCTGATGCGGTAGCCAAACAGGGGCCTCCCTCAGCGAGCTGCCTGCTCGCTGCATTATGTTGGTAGTGGGGAACTGCTGATGTCCCTTGACCAGGCAAACCAAAGTGTTGACAATGTCACCTGAACGTGCTGCAGTTGGAAGGGGTCGATAATTGGTTTATCAAAAATCATTGTTCAAAAAAGTGATGGTTATTAAACCTAAGGAATATTGGTGTTGGATGCATCCTTCAAGGTCTCCTGTCTATCCCTTCCATTTAAGCTTCCTATTTCATGTGCCTTCCTTACTGGATTCCTGATTCTGTCTAGGGAGAAGTGCTCCAAATAGCCCCCAACAAGTGCTGTCCCGAGTGCGCCTCCCGGGCTGAAGGATTTTGCCAGCACGAAGGACAGATCCATGGGGTGAGTCGCTCCGTCCCTCGGCAGGGAATTTCCAACATTCAGCCCTCTGACTCTTTACTTCTTGTCAGTGACGGCTGCTTAGCGGGCTTGAGGAAGAAGGATCATTCCTCGTCACTGTTTCCATCTCTGCTGTCTTCTGTCACCATCAGATAATGTAATATATGGGGCATTTCATCTATGGGGTTTGTGAAAAGATCATGTGTGGCATGATCATGTCATGTTTAGCTTAAGGGGAGAAAGTTTGCTATCCGTTCATTCACGTTTCTGTTTCTGTGGGTGTCTGAGACAATATGGAAATGTTAGAAGTAAAATATGGTGAATTTGGCACATTAGCTGTCCTGAAAGAAGGTTTTCTTCAGGAAAATTCAGGATTGCTGAAAGAAGCAGCACTCTGTGCTGGTAGAAATTAATTGCTCTCGTGTGGCCTGGGATTATGTAATTTGTAACCCTGAATTATTCAAGGAGCACTTTTCAGGACGTGACTTCACCTAGGGGACATGAACGGCCAAAATAGTAAGAATAAGTGTCTATAGGAAGGAAAATGCGGAGATTCTTGGATAGTAGTTCATGATACAGTAGGCAAATGGAGAAGGATGACCTAATGCAAGGCCAGGAGCTCAGCCATTGCTCTCTTGTGGATTTATTTGACAGGAAGAAAGTTGGGTGCAAATATTCAGAAACCCGTGAAATGCCAAATAATTTTGAATGTCTGGTGCACTCTGCCCCTCAGATGGCAATTGTAGCTCCCTGTTTTACTGGGCTGGCGTGACCGCCACAAATCGGTTATGAGGCAGAGAGAAAAGGCTGGAAGAGGAGGGATTTGTTGGCAAGTGTTGCAGTGCATCAACATTTTTCTTTTGGGAGCCATTTTTCCCACCCCTGCTTAGGGTAGGAGTGTTGTCCTACCCGGAATCAGCCAAGTTAACCCGATTTTCCTCCCAACGAAGTACTTTTTGTGGTTGTGCATTGCAGCACGGCACGCAGTGGGCCGCCTCAGGCTGCGGCCTGTGCTTCTGTGCCCACGGGAAGGTGAACTGCACCCCCAAGATCTGCCCAGCCCTGGTGTGTGGGAGCGGGGAGCAGCCGGACACTGCCCGCGGAGCCTGCTGTCCCGTCTGCGTGGGCCCTGGCCGTGAGTATCGTGCGTGAACGGGCCACCGTCGCGCCCCCGACTGTTCTGTCCTGCCTAAATTCTCCTGAACGCCCAGGGCAAGTGCCTCTCAATTCTTTTTTTTGTCCTCTCGCTGTATTTGCATTCGTAAGGGCTTCACCCATCGGTCAAAAACAAGTGATAAACTTTGAGCTGTGAGCAGATGTGCCTGGTGCTCTGTCCTTGCTTTTAAGACCACGATTTAGGGAAAAGAATGCAGATATTTCCTGTGTAGCGAAGGTGCCCTTGGCACTTGCAGATTAACACTCTAAGTTCCAAAAGATGCCTCAGCTGTTGGATACTTCTTCTCATTCAAAGCCAGTGGGAGCAGTACATCCAGAGCTCTTAATTCATGAGTCTAAAACCCTTGAAAACAATCGGAATTGTTATAATTATTTGCTATTTTGAGAAACCAGGATTTTGAATTTTAAGATGCACAAAATCTGTTTTAATGATTCTCATCACTCTGGCTTGTTTTCAAAGATAGCGTTGTACCACTGATACATTCATGAATAAGGACTCTTGATTCACATTTTCTTGCTATACTCTTTTCTTTCCCCAAAGTACTGAGGAACATAATATCCTCTTGTTACTGTATTTCCTTTCTGTGTGCAGCAGCTGAACCTGCTAACGCACGACTGACACACTGTGAAATTGTTGCAACAAGTGAAAAGCTGCAGGGACTGTGCAGCAAGGCCGTCTAGAACCCAGTATCCCCTTGGGAACAGTGTGCATGCTGCCATGAAGGGGAATGGAAAGCGATTAAAAGACATGTGAAAAGAGAATTACTCAATGTCTTAAATGTCTCTTAGAGTCGTGCTCCTTCGATGGCCGCTTGTTCCGGGATGGAGAGGATTGGTGGCTCAGTCAGTGCTCCAAGTGCATCTGCAGGGACGGCGCCACTCAGTGCTTCGTGGCCTCCTGCCAGCCCGTGCTGTGCCGTCAGGTCAGGACCCATGGGGACATTATTCTTGGCTGTTTCTTTTCCTTGACAGGATGTTACAAACTAACAGATGCATCTCCTGTGAGGAAAACGGACTGGAAAGGGGAGTTTTAATTTCTAGAAATGCAGAATGATGGGTAAATGTGTCGGTATACGCATCTCTCTCTCAACACATTCTCTCCCCACACATTTACTCTTATCATGCATTTGCTGGCTAACTAGGTGGAAGTATTATCTGAAGAAACTATGCTTTTGGTTTTGTACTAAAACTATGCTTCAGAGTTGATTAGAAAGTGCTTTTATTTCTCTGTAGAAAGGAATGAAAGAATAGGGGGTTTAATGGGGATTTGTCTCCACAAACTTCAGTTTTTGGTTTCACCTGCTTTGTTTGCAGTTCCTCTTTATTCTGTTTACGAGAGCTATAGAAATGCAGTTGAAAATAGCCAAATGCTTATGAAATTCCCCTTTGACTAAAAAGGCTTTAAAAATAAAAGGCTGCTTCAAATAGAAAAAAGGTCCCAGAGCGCTATTCCTTACATGTGCTTGTGTTTCACAAGAGATCTGCACATCAGTAAAATCAGTAGATAACTTACCCAAGCTCAAGTAGTCACTTACTTTTCTAGCCCAAATGAGAGAGCTGGGACATTTCTGTTTCTCGGGTCTTTGCTGTGGACAGTAATAATGAATTCTTAGCACTTGTGCAGCGATAAACCCAGCCACAGCGCAACGGGATTATATACAGCGTTAGCACAACGGTTAGTAAAGAAAGCAGACTGTGTACAATACTCTGGACAAGTGACTAGATTCTTTACATTCTCTTTATTGTATTACAAACCAGAAATGATGCCTGAGGGTGCAACTGTGCTCTGTGGATTTCTTTTCATTGGGCCTATTGTACCAGTTTTCTCGGCCTCTCCGCATTCTCGTTTTCAGCAACTTGTCATGCCAGTGACAGCTCTGAAATGCAGAATCTGGCCCCTTGGGAGATCCTCTTTTTGGCTGGCTTTGACTTTATGTCCTTGAAACTGCAGCTTCTCCAATAGCTTTATCTACTAACCCTATTCCAGTGGTGAAACGAGAACTCTAGTGCCCTTGAAATGTGTACTCTGGCTCTGACTGCCCTGTAGCCTGCTGCAAACCAAAAACATTAGTCTTAAACGTTTTTTTTTTCTTGATGCTGCTTGCCCAGTTTGCTGTTGCAAGACTAGATGATTGTGTAATGAACACATTTTTTTTGTTTGTTTGTCTGTTTGAAGGAAAGCTCACCTGTTGCTCTGCATGCCAACTGTATATTGCTTTGTCCCAAGATACTCAATTCCCATATTGCTCCAAATGAATCAACGATGCCTGCTGGCTGATGGTGCTAATGTTGAACCGGATAATCAACCGGATTTCATTTGTGGAAATAGAAGTGACTTGGTTGATGCTGTGATATATGTGAGAATTCTTGGCTAAAACACACGAGTTAGTGCAACACAAAGCTAATTATCACGGTGCTTCTATTTCCTAGCAAGGTGCCCATTGGGAGGGGCACTGGCAGGACATGCAGGAGCTCTTACCTTGATCATACCTGTTGTTGTCTTGCATGTGCCTTTATCCTTGTCTCTTCTAAATACAGTTCCTGAAAAAGGAAATAAATAATTTCTTTCAGCATGGTGGCAACCAAAATTGAACTCATGTTACAACTTTTAGATAAGCGTGCCTTTTCCTGGATGCCAAGGGGACCCATATTCCTAAATGCTTGTTGCAGAAGGGCACCTGAATATGTCAGCCACAGGAGAAGAGGAATTGCAAGTTCTCACTTTTAACTTAGTGCCAAAATATTGTGAAAAAAAAAGCCAGGAGGGAAGAATGTATTTTCTGCGGATATGTTTTCTCTGAACGTGCAAGCTTGTGAAGTCTGTCCGGTGTGCTTGCTGCTTCCAGTGCAAAATTAAATGAATATCTGGCAGTTTCAGCTCACTCTGCTGGCTTCCTTCTTAGGGAGGTTTGCCACCAGTTATCTCTGCCCAATAAGTAGTCCCCAGAGCCAAAGAAAAGATCTCCCTCATGCTGTCCTAACAAAATCCATGAAAAAGCTCATTTAACTTTGCTGGGAGATCTGTGCTTGATAACTTTTATACATCCTTCCACACTTCCTTTGAAAACTAGTGATTTGCACCAACAAAACACATAACAGTGGTTGTCATTTGAACATGATCTTCAACCCACCAGGGAGTCATCCTTTCATCCTGCCCTGTCTGGAGGGAGGTGTTGCTGGGTGATGGTCTGGCTGTTACACGTCAATGGCTGTGTGTGAAACTGTAGCAGTTAAACTATGCTCACGTTTTGGACAGTGCCAGAAAAGAACCTCTCCCTTCACAATCATATGCTTTAGCTCTCTTTGCAGCTTTAGGTATATATTATCTTCACGCATATATTCAGATCTACAGAGATTTTTTTTTCTCTGAGGTGTGTGTCTTTAGCAGTATCTGTATATCTGGGCCTTGACTGCCAACCAAAGAAGCCTAGAGAAGGAGATGTAGGGAATGTGTTTGTTCTTAGCCTCCCACATTGATGGCCCCAGAGACTAGAGCCAAAATCAAGCCTCGTGAGGCTGTGGGTGGTCACACAGATGTGGAGTTTCTGGAAATCCAGGCAGTGATGCCCAGACCCATGCCAACTCTTCCTACTCTTATTCTATTTGCTTTGCTTTCTATTTAGGATGAAGTTATGGTGATGTCTCCGGGAAAATGCTGCCCGGAATGCGTTCCGAAACCCTGCTCGGTGTCAGGAAGAGTGTACCAGGTAACCTTTGATAAGCCACACCGAAGGCCAACTGGTCACAAGTTCTGGCACACCTCCCTTTCCCTTCCCAGAATGTCTGACACTCTGCCAGCGCCGATAGCTTAGTACAACAGTTGATTTTTTTTCTTTCTAGAAAGGCAGAAGAGTTGAAAGAAATTAAGGCTAGATAAGAACTTGATGGCAAACAGAAGGGAAGTTTGCAGGATGAAGCAGATTAGGCACTTTCTTTTCACACTTTTTTTGGAGAAGGAAAGCAAAAAGCATTAGAAAAGGTCAAAGTATTCATACCTGTCATGGTATCGCCTGGAATTAATTTGATTAATTATTTAATGCAAATGTTTTTATGTGAGGTTCACTGGTAATGATCATTTTTTGCTAATTATATCTGTTAGGGTCTCACCAATGTCATTAGCTAGCAATTGATGAGAAATGCCTATCTCTGTCATCTAGACCTTGTATTTTTAATTTATGTTGCTGATAATGCTTTTATTAGCATTTTTAAAGAGAAGTTTGTTATTGCATACAGACACGCAGGGAAGTGATTACTTCCAATCAGAAGCATGGCTCTCCATAGATTATTTGGGTATCTGTGAAGAGTCTTGGACAATTATATACATCTTTCGTGTTCTTTTTGAACAGCATGGCGAACAGTGGAAAAAAAATGCCTGTACTACATGTGCATGTTCCCGAGGGGAAGTCAGATGCCTGAGGGAGACGTGTGACTCAGTTACATGTGAGAAGGTAGCTAAAAATCCTTCAGCTCTGATACCCTGGCTGCCTGTGTCACTGCCCTTGTGGAAGGGGCCAGAGATCCTGCTCAACTGTCACTGATGTTTTCTAGGGGGAAAACAAAGTGCAGCGTTCCGGGAAGTGCTGTGCCGAGTGCGTCGCTGCCAAGGGAAACTGCTTCTATGATGGCACCATCCGGTACCAGGGTGACGTGTGGAATAGCACTGGCTGCGACTTCTGCATATGTGACAGAGGGCAAGTCACCTGCCAGAAAGCAGAGTGTGCCAGAGTGGAGTGTGCCAAGGTAAGAAAGGTTTTTGCTTTCAAAATCTCTCTTTAAGTCCTGTGATTCCCCCATGCCCCCCATTTTGTTTCTTCTTTCTTAACTGCTGTCTTGAGACACGCAAGGGACCTGCTCGTCTCTGCTGGCTTGGTTTGTACAAATGCCCTGAAAGCACTCACGGAAAACAGGAGCAAGCTTTGGATTTTCCCAAGCAAGATTGGCTACTCAGCAAGCTTATATTATGAGGAAAGCCAGTGAGAGTCAGATACTAATTAAATTTGGATCACCTCCCACATTGCTTCCACGCTGTTGTGGAAGGCAGTGTCCCACTTTTCTCCAATTTTCCAAGCCGTTCTGAGTGAGGCATTTTATGTGTTTTACTCCAAAACAAAATCCCCTGAGAGGTTATGTTGTAGTTGCTCTTAATGAATATGAAAAAGGCATTAGATAGGGTTGAAAGCTCTTTCCCCCACTGTCCACATGCACGCATATGAGCGTGCACACACACACACACACACAGACAAAAACGTTTTTTTGCTGTTTTTGCTTGGATTGCCACACACACAGACAAAAACGTTTTTTTGCTGTTTTTGCTTGGATTGCAGTGGAACAAAACTGCTGTAGTGCTCATCACTGCATCTGTTATAATTAGTAGATGAATATCTGCTTTATTGCAACTGCTGTACAGGCTCAGTGAAGGGAATAGATTGTAGCTTTCTGAGGTTTTTCTCTCATTGACAGTGCTTTTCTGATGACTCTGCCTACATGATAAATCTCATGTGCCAGCACCCTTGTGTTGGGCCTGAATTCCAGCGCAAATCTGCATGCTGCACATGATGGCTTCACTGCGTTAGATCACTTTAATGGCTGTTCCAGAAAGTTAGAATCCACGAGCACGATCCCAAATGATACATAATGCAGAGGTGATGTATGTAGGAATAAAAAATATGTGCCACTTCATCTGAGGTTGTGTCCTCTAACTAACAAAAATGGATGGAGCGTGAGAGCTGAACTCTTGTTGCTGAGTGTAGCACTGCTGATGATCATTAAACTGCATGGAGAGTTTCTGCTGGGTCGAAGTCATGATTGTCATAAAATCTTGTGCATTGGCATCTGCTTCAGCCAGCTTCCTGCATGCTTATGACTGAAAATGGAATCATTTACACTAATGATGATGGCACACTGTCATAGCTCAGTAGGGAAAATGATTTAATATTCATGTTCTTGCCTTGGGCTCTGACGAGGAATCCATTATTCAGAAAAGCCAGAAATATTTTACAGGACAGCAGCTGAAGGTGTTTAGAAGTGGGGTTAAGAACAGAACGGGGTTCAAAAGCAGCTCTATTGCTCATGCTGTTTTCTTTCATGCTCGGGATATCAAAGTTTCCCAGTTTGAAGCTTGAGCATCAAAAAAAAAAGTGTTATTTCTCAGGGTACAAGTGGCTGCTGTTCTGAATTCAATGAAATGTGATTACTGGGAGGACAGCAGGAGGAAAGTACTCGATAAAAGATATTTGCCCAAGGATTTATAATCCTGCAGGGTTTCCCTTAAGATAAACTGGCTTCCTCAAGACAGTTGCAGTCATAGTTTAGCTCAGTAGTACAAGGTGCACATTAATTTAATGCAATAAAATATTTACTCAAAAAGAATATAAATTACTTTCCTTTCCCCTTCTCTTTTTCTGAGTTGCAAGTCTTGTTTGTAGACACCTGCATCAATAAATCTGGCCTGAGAAGAAGCTCGAAGCGTTTGGATTCATCTCTTCATTAAGGCACTATTAATTTTCTGGTCACATCGTGCTGTTTAAAGTGTAATGAGGCCCCAGATTTAAACTGCAAATCCTGGACAGCTTGGCACAGCAGAGCAGTGTTACACGAGGGGAGGGCAGAGGCTCAGCTCTTAAACCCTTTCAGACAAACCTGTCCAGCAGCTGCAGAAGGAAGGTGGCTGTGGCGCTTCTGCGCTCATCTTCCAAACTGCACTCGGGTGAGCTGGGAATGGAGCTTCTGTGGCAGCCTTGGGGCAGTTACGGATGTACTCCGGACCAACAGGCCAGATGTACTCGACCCACAGGCCGCGCTTCCCAACGCCTGCCGGGAGCGCGTTCAGACGGGGCTCTGAGCAGGGCGCTGGGTGCGTGGGTTCCTCCGGCTCCGGATCCCGGGGAGCCCAGCAGCCGCAGGGCCCGCGAAGCAGGTCCGGTGGGACGCAGAGCCAGCAGCCGCGGGAGCTGCTGTGACGCTTCGAAGAAGCCGAGCTGGCAGGCTGGGAGTTCGGAATGGCACGTGGGGATGTAGATGGGAATGAGCGTGAGACACGCTTGCATAGACTGCTTTTTGCCCCGTTTCTGCCTCCCCGCTCACCAGCGCCGTTCAGCATTCACCGCCTGGAGCGCGGTGAATGGTCTCCCTGCAGCGCGGCCACGAGCGCTCCGGCTGCCCCGCGTGGCCGCTGCCGCTCCAGAGCCTTGGCAGAGCTTGTGCTTCCCTTTTCTCCCGGCTGGAGATGCGTATTCCTCGGCTTGGCTGCTCTCAGTTTTCCTCTAGTGTGTGTGTGAGGGGGTTGTGGGCAGGGATGGGAATGGGAGCGTTTACAGTACGTAGTCTTGACATGAGATCCAACCACAGCCAAGGGCATTCTGAAGTAATGATTAAAGTAGGAAACATGTTTAGAACCAAGAGAGAAAGATTTTAGGCTGTGTGTGGTCCCAGGTGAGTGAAAACTGTGTGATCTCTGTGCTCTTACCCATTCCCAGAAATGTCTGAGCATTCCCGAGTGTAGCCTGGACTAGCTCTTGTGCCTTGGCAAAATTAACAGTAACTGGGAGTGTTGCTGCACTGCGTAGGTACAAAACAGTTTGCGTATACAGACTGCTGGATGTGCTGAAGTGGAATGGCAAAAAGCATCCTGGCGTGACTGTACTGTGCAAGATTCCTGGAGGGTGCAAATGAGCAAGGCAAATGGGTAAACTTGGAGCTCAGCTGCATTTTGTGAGCCCCCAAAGGAAGGTGGCTACGAGCTGAAATGGAAACCAGGAGGAACTTTATGACTTTGTTGGGTTATGGGCCCCTTGCAGATGGTTATGGGCCAGTTGTGACTTATCTGCTTTGTGATAAAAAAAAGTAATTGCCCTAATTGTAAAGCTAGAGAGATACTACACAGAGAGA